AGTGATGCAGGGGGGGACGGGGGGGTTCTCTGGATATGGCAACACCCCAGGGATTGCTTTACCCCGTTTGCCCCAACCAAATTGGGAAATAAAGTGCAAATCCCTGCCTGGTTTCACAAGGCACCGAGGAAGGAAAAAGGAGGGGGGGAGGGAAGGATTTAGGGGCAGAGCTCCAGCTAATTTGGGTGGGAATGGCAGGGCTAAATCCCCCCCCCCAGGTTTCATACAAATCCCTGCCTGGTTTCACAAGGCACCGAGGAAGGAAAAAGGAGGGGGGGAGGGAAGGATTTAGGGGCAGAGCTCCAGCTAATTTGGGTGGGAATGGCAGGGCTAAATCCCCCCCCCAGGTTTCATAAACGGCTGGCGCCGAGCGTGGCACCGCTGGGCGAGCTGACAGATGCACCTGGAGGTTTTATTAGGCTATAGATCCCTTAATCTGGGTGCTTGCAGGATAAGCTGGTGCCTGAGGTCCTGCCAAATCCCCTGGGATCAGCAGGTTTTCTATCCGCAGCCTCCAGAGGTCACTTCAAACCCGGCTCCATCCTCGGGGGGGAAGCCAAAATAATCCACCCTGTCTCACACCCATGGGTGCTGGACACCCTCGGTGGGCTGTGGGGGATGCTGGGGGGTTAAACCAGCCTCATCCGTGACTCCCTGCTCTCTTTGCGTGGTTGCCATCACCCAGGAAAGGTTGCCCAAACCTCTGGCGTGCATGGCTTTGCCTTCTTCCAGCAGCCCTGGCCCATCTTCCAGTTAATTTGGGGAAATTTTAGCTCCTCACAGCCACCCTGGCAGAGGTCGGGACATCCAGCCAGGATTTAAATGCCAAAAATATCCTGTCCCCCTCCTCTCCCAGGGAATGCCACCCTCTACAGAAAGTCCCCCGTGCTGTGGTGTGACCTGTGTCACCGTAGGATATGTTTAGGGGATGGCTGGGGGGAGGAAACTCTCTTTGGTGCCTTTTATTTGGAGGTAGCAGAAAAAAAAAAAAGAAAACAAAACAAAACAACAAAAAACCAAACCCTGTTCTTCCTCTCTTTTAAGAGATTTTGATCGCGAGGAGGAAATGGTCACCTGGCGTTCACAGAATCACATGGGGTTGGAAGGGACACAGCCACCCTGGCAGAGGTCGGGACATCCAGCCAGGATTTAAATGCCAAAAATATCCTGTCCCCCTCCTCTCCCAGGGAATGCCACCCTCTACAGAAAGTCCCCCGTGCTGTGGTGTGACCTGTGTCACCGTAGGATATGTTTAGGGGATGGCTGGGGGGAGGAAACTCTCTTTGGTGCCTTTTATTTGGAGGTAGCAGAAAAAAAAAGAAAAAAAACCAAACCAACAACAAAAAAAAAACCTGTTCTTCCTCTCTTGGAAGAGATTTCGATCTTGAGGAGGAAATGGTCACCTGGCGTTCACAGACCCCTCCTCTCCCAGGGAATGCCACCCTCTACAGAAAGTCCCCCGTGCTGTGGTGTGACCTGTGTCACCGTAGGATATGTTTAGGGGATGGCTGGGGGGAGGAAACTCTCTTTGGTGCCTTTTATTTGGAGGTAGCAGAAAAAAAAAGAAAAAAAACCAAACCAACAACAAAAAAATTCCCAACTCTCCAGCCTGCCCAGGTTCCCCCGGAGCGTGTTCATCACATGCTTTTTTTCCATGTGTTTCATCCGGAGCATGTTCATCACATGCTTTTTTTCCATGTGTTTTGCATGACTGCAACCATCAACGTGTGCATGGGTGGGAAAGTGTGAAAAAAAACCTGTATTTTGGGGGGCTGGTAGGATTGTCTCCTGGTTCACACCCCCGTGGTCCCACACCCCGTGCCCACAGCGCTCTCCTCTCCTCTCTTCCAGGGCAAGAAGTACGTGCTGGTGCTGGTGGACCCCGATGCTCCCAGCAGAGCCAACCCCAGGAACCGCTTCTGGAGGCACTGGTTGGTCACCGACATCCCGGTGAGTCCCCCCAGTATTCTACTGGGGTCCCAGCAGCGGGGGGGTTCCCCAAGAACCGGGGTGGATGCCCTTGGCCTTCTTGGCCACCAGGGCCCATTGCTGTCTCATGGGCATCCTGTTGTCCACCAGGACTCCCAGGTCTTTCTCCTCAGAGCAGCTCTCCAGCAGGTCACCCCCAACCTGTCCTGGTGCAGGGGGTTATTCCTCCCCAGCTGCAGCACCCTACACTTGCCCTGGTTGAACCTCCTCATGTTCTTCTCTGCCCAACTCTCCAGCCTGTCCAGGTTCATCCGGAGCATGTTCATCACATGCTTTTTTTCCATGTGTTTTGCATGACTGCAACCATCAACGTGTGCATGGGTGGGAAAGTGTGAAAAAAAACCTGTATTTTGGGGGGCTGGTAGGATTGTCTCCTGGTTCACACCCCCGTGGTCCCACACCCCGTGCCCACAGCGCTCTCCTCTCCTCTCTTCCAGGGCAAGAAGTACGTGCTGGTGCTGGTGGACCCCGATGCTCCCAGCAGAGCCAACCCCAGGAACCGCTTCTGGAGGCACTGGTTGGTCACCGACATCCCGGTGAGTCCCCCCAGTATTCTACTGGGGTCCCAGCAGCGGGGGGGTTCCCCAAGAACCGGGGTCCATGGGGTGTTCCCACCCTGGAGGGTTGGGATCCCACATCTCTCCGGGTTACGGCGGCGTCTGGGTGAAATCCTGAAGGATGAGGGTTTGTGAGAGAAATGGAAATGGTGCTGGGCGTGTAGGTAGGGGAGCGCTTCCTCAGGCTATATAGAGCCGAGCTGGGCCAAAAATATTACTGGCTTGTGTATTTTTTTGGTGTTTTTTTTTTTCCTTCGTCTTTTTTTTTTTTTTTTTTTTCCCTAAAGAAACGCTGAAAAAAAAAAAAATCCCTCCCCGCTTTGAAAACTCCCAACCACCAGTTTTCTCTGCAGAGACAAATGGTTGTTTCAAACATCTCGTGCTGCTCTTTATTTGGGTTTTTTCTTTTTTTTTTTTTGGTTAAAAAAGCGGTTTTGGTGAAAATCTCGCCGGTGTCAAATTTTCCTTTTCTTTTTTTTTTTTTTTTTTAATTTTTATTTTTGGTGAAAATCTCGCCGGTGCCAAATTTCTTGTCTGGTGTGTGAAAAGCGTTTCCGGGCTGGGGAAGCAAAAAAAGGGAGGAAAATAGTTTTGGGTTGAATTCTTGGGGACAGGGGACAGACAGACGGACGAGCCCTTACTCTGCAGTGGGGCATCACTCCCCACCTCTCCCAGTACATCACTGGTTTGCTTCCAGAAAGATTTTAGGAAATCAGTGCCTTCCTCTCCTCCTCGCTTTTATCTTTTAAAAAGATAGGTGTTTCAGCCCTGAATCAATCTAACTAATAATCTTAGTACTAAAGTCTAATTAAGATATCAATTAATTTGCAGCGTGCATTTAACAAGAAATATCTCGTCATTCTCCTCTATTATTCTCTGAAATTACTGTTAAGGGCTTTTTGTACAGATACCTTAATTAGACTTTTTATTGTTAATGGGAATATTGAGCAAATTAAAATTGGATATTAATACTTTCCATGAATTTCATAATTGGCTGAAAAATATAAAGCATTCAGAATAATTGCAGAGATTTGTGCACAGGGCCTTTTTTTTTTTCTTTTTTTTTTTTTTTAATCCTTCACACAAACCCTTCTGCATTTCTAACAACAGGGTCCTGAAAGTCTCTCATTAATTTTAATATTTACTAAACGCAAAGGAGCCCAAGCTCTTGTTTTCCCTTCTGTACACAGATCCTTCTGAGGCATTCAGTATTGCTAATTATTGTGGTTTTCTTTTCTTTTTTTTTTTTTCTTTTTTTTTTTTCCTTCTTTGAGTATAAGATCATTTAAGCAAAGAAGAGAAATGTGGGGTTAAAACCACTTCCCCGGCGCAAATGGAAGGTAGTTTTTCCCTGGTATTTGGGCAATTCAATTTGTGGTATTAAAGGTCAGAAAGCTCCTCGCCAGGCCATGCGGGGCTGGGGGGAAAGGGGATTTTGGGGAAGGAAAAGGGCTTTTCCATGTCTAATTGCTGCGTCTCTGCCAGGGATGGGGCTGACCCAACCCCTACTATTCCTTAAGCTTTCTCAGAGTGAGAGAAATATATTTATCTACGTATCTGAGCAGGGAGTTGGACGTGATGATCCTTATGGGTCCCTTCCAACTTGAGCTATTCTATGGTTCCATGATATATTCTATACAAAATACATGTAGCGACATAATATATATCATATAAATATATCTATATAATGATGTGATCTATATCACCCATATATCTAGCTAATATGTGTGTATATATAGATATATCTCATATTATATGCGTATAAATCTCCGTGGCACTATGAGACACCACCAAACCCATCGTCATCCTCGCAGGGCACCGGGACAAACCCAGCTTGCCCCAGCCCATTGTGTGGATGGGGGGTGTCCCACGATCCCCCCACCCCCACCACCACCCTGGGGGGGGCTGCAGCCAGAGCTTTCCCAAAACCCCAGCCCCAAATCTCTTCTGCGAAGCCGGCGGCTCCCCGGGCTCAGCCACATGGTGTCTCGTTGAAATGCAGATCGTTGGGGGGTATATGGAAGTCTTGGCTCCAAGGAGCTTCAGCTGACAGGCTTATTTGCACACTGGCTCTAAAATAACCGTGTAGGCTTTACATGACACCTTCTGTTGCTTTGGTGCAGAGAGGGGCTTTCAAGTGCCTTTCTCCTGGAGGGACTGGGGTGGCCGGCACGATGGATGGGTGGGTTTCGTTGCCCTGGCATCACCCCAGCATCATCCTTCCCAGCGTTGCCCCACCATCACCTTGGCATCCCCTCAGCATCTCCTCAGCATTGCCCCAGCATCACCCCAGCATCATCTCAGCATTGCCCCAGCATCTCCTTGGCATCATCCCAGCATCTCCTCAGCATTGCCCCAGCATCACCCCAGCATCATCCCAGCATCTCCCCAGCATTGCCCCAGCATCTCCCCAGTTTCATCCCAGCATCTCCCCGGCATTGCCCCAGCATCTCCCCACCATCTCTCCAGCATCTCCCCAGCATCTCTCCAGCATTGCCCCAGTGTCACCCCAGTTTCATCCCAGCATCTCCCTGGCATTGCCCTAGCATCTCTCCAGCATCTCCCCATCATCTCCCCAGTATCTCTGCAGCATCTCCCCAGCATCTCTCCAGCATCTCTCCAGCATCTCCCCATCGTCTCTCCAGGTCACTCCAGTTTCATCCCAGCATCTCCCCAGTATTGCCCTAGCATGTCTCCAGCATCTCCCCATCATCTCTCCAGCATTGCCCCAGCATCTCCCCAGTTTCATCCCAGCATCTCCCCGGCATTGCCCTAGCGTCTCTCCAGCATCTCCCCATCATCTCTTCAGCATTGCCCCAGCATCACCCCAGTTTCATCCCAGCATCTCCCCATCATCTCTCCAGCATTGCCCCAGCGTCACTCCAGTTTCATCCCAGCATCTCCCCAGTATTGCCCTAGCATGTCTCCAGCATCTCCCCATCATCTCTCCAGCATTGCCCCAGCATCTCCCCAGTTTCATCCCAGCATCTCCCTGGCATTGCCCCAGCATCTCCCCACCATCTCTCCAGCATCTCCCCAGCATCTCCCCACCATCTCTCCAGCATCTCCCCACCATCTCTCCAGCATTGCCCCAGTGTCACCCCAGTTTCATCCCAGCATCTCCCCGGCATTGCCCTAGCATCTCTCCAGCATCTCCCCATCATCTCCCCAGTATCTCTGCAGCATCTCCCCAGCATCTCTCCAGCATCTCTCCAGCATCTTCATCCTGTCTCTCCAGCATTGCCCCAGCATGTCCCCAACATCTTCTTGGCATCATCCCAGCATCGCCCAGCGTCTCCCCAGCATCATCCCAGCATCACTTTAGCATCACCCTGGCATCATCCTGGCATCTCCTTAGAATTACCCCAGCATCCCTTTGGCATCACCCTGGCATCACCCCGGCATCATCCCAGCATCATCCCAGCATCTCCTCAGAATTACCCCAGCATCACCCCAGCATCACTTTAGCATCACCCTGGCATCATCCCAGCATCTCCTCAGAATTGCCCCAGCGTCTCCCCAGCATCAATTTGGCATCACCCCGGCATCACCCCAGCATCATCCCAGCATCTCCTCAGAATTACCCCAGCATCACCCCAGCATCACTTTGGCATCACCCCAGCATCATCTCCCCAGCGTCGCTTTGCCATCCCCGGCTTTGGAAAGGGAAGCAGCTCTGGCAGCGCCGCATGCCATCGGAGGTGCTGCAGTACCTTGGCAGGCCACCAACTTTGGGATTCGGCTCTCGGAATGTGCTTTATTCCCAGGTGGGCTTTGGGGATGGAGCATCCCATCCCATCCCAGCCCCGGCGGAGCAGCTCCCGGTTCCTTATCAGCCGCTTGCTCCGCCGATTGTCAAACACGAGAGATGCTTTCACTCCCATTCAAAATAATTTAAATAAAAATGTTGCTACAAAGTGGAATAATATCTTTTGATGAATGTTTTTCAAGCCCTTTAGGTTTTCATGGTAATTTGCAGTGTAAAATTATTTAGAGATAAGAGCCAAATTAGCTCTTATAGGCGGAGGTCGATATGTCCCGTTATCCATGCAAGCAGTGTTTAAATATAATCAGCCTTTACTCTAATGCAGCATAATTGTTCATTTGAAATAGCTTTTTTTTTTTTTTTTTTTTTTTTTTTCTTACTCCATTCAATGAGTCATTAAAATATTCAAAGGATAATGCAGTGAATTGGAAATGAATTTATCACATTATCCTGTATATACTGTAGAGCATCAGGTAACCAGGCAGAGTCGGAACCAGTTTACAGCGAAATCCAGTAAACAAGGCTTTCCATTTTGTATTCAGCGGGGGGAAAAGAAAAAAAAAGAAGGGAGAAAATACTGCCCTTCAAATGGAAAGCTTTCCGTCTTTATTCCCCCTCCTTGGGGAGGAGGAAGGGGGAGGGAGAGAGCAGCAAATTTGTACTCCACTAAAGCCTCGGCTGCTTTAACTTTATTTTTATCAAAATATGTTTGTAACAGAAAGTCGTTATGGAAACCAGTTCTGCCAGCCGGGAGAAATCCTGCGCCAGGCTGGGAGGGAGTGGGACCCACTGGGGGTTGCTGCCCCCCAACCCCGACACGGCCGGGGTCCCTCCTCCAACCCCTTCCTCAGTCAAGGTGTTGGGGGAAACTGAGGCACGGAGCTGGTGGGAGCCCAGTTTGGGGTCAGATAGGGGAAATCCATCAATATGGAGTTGTCAGGAGCGCCCTTCCCCATCACCCCATCCCATTAAATGGCTTTTCTCCCCACTATGGATGCGTTGGGGTCCAGCACCCCTCCCTGGGGTTACGGTTGCTCCTAGAGTGGGATGAGGAACCCATGGGTGTGGGATGGGAGGGTTTGGGTACTGGGGGGACCACAGCATCCCCATCCCATCCCAGATGTCCCCACCACCACCAGTGGTCCCTCACCAGTGGCTCCTTCTCCCGTGGTTCCATTTCTCGGCGCGTTTCTCCTCGCCGGCTGATAAACAG